GCCACCAAGGAAAACAACTAAAGAACATTATGATTCTTATTCCAAGGAACTAGAAGAATACAGAGTAAAACCATCAAGCCTAACCTCACAAGTTGAGAATATTTCTTGCAATAACACTAATTCCTTGATGCACACATTGTAGTCATGCTGAATCCTCTTCCCTTGAGGTTAAAAGTAATTCCTAGACTTTCTTTTTTCTTTATCTTCTCCTCGTTCTGAACTGGCAAGTATTGTGAGAAATTTTGTTGAAAACACACTGTCACCAGTCTTCTCTCTTCTCAGTTTCCTAGTGTCCATTTTTTCCCTAGAATTTTTCATTACTACCATAGATCATCTATAACCACATATAGTCCAGTGTCTAGTTAAGCCAGTAATTTCATATGATTTGGGGTTACAGCAAGTAGCAGAAAGCAAGAAACAATACAGCTATCTTCCTCTGTCCAGTTTCACTTTTTGAGGTTTCATTTACCCATGGTCAACTGTAGTCTAAAAGTATTAAAAATTTCCAGAAATAATCAATTCAGAAGTTTTAAATTGTGTGTCATTCTGAACATGTGATGAAACCTAAAGCCATCCCACTCCATCCTACCCACCATGTGAATCATCCCTTTGTCCAACCTATCAATACTGTACACACCGGCTGCTCATTTTCACTTAGTAGCCATCTCAATTATGAGGTCAACTATCATGGTATTGTAGTGAGTGTGCTGAAATAATCTTCACTTCACTTATTAAATAATGACTCCAAGGTGCAAGAGTAGTGATGCTAACAACCTTGGGATGGCAAAAAAAAAAAACAAACAAACAATAAAGTACTTTCTTTAAATGAAAGGTGAAAATTCTTGACTTAATAAAGAAAGAAAACAAAAGCATATGCTGAGATTGCTAAGACATACACTAAAAGAAGATATTTGGGAAGAGAGGATACATTCACATTAATATAACTTTTATTATAGTACACAGTCAAAATTATTCTATTTTTATTATAGTTATTATTATCTCTTACTGTGCCTAATTTATAAATTAAACTTTATCGTAGGTAACTACATGTAGTAAAAACAGCGTATATGTAGGTTTTGGTACTAGGTACAGTTTCAGGTATCCATGGGGTCTTGAAACTTATTCCCTATGGATAAGGGGGGACCACTGTTCAAAAACCCAGAAATCTAGGATAATTCATCTACTATGTAATCAAGACTTGAATCCTACACTAAGGCTAAATAAATCTTATTCATCCTAACATATTTATCTGTTAGGTTACTCATGCCAAACTGTACATTGTCCATAATTATATAATATTTACTTCTGACATTTCATTGTATAAAGCCTTTCTCTGTGTGCACAAGTCCTCCTCTGTAAAAGAGAAAGACATATATTCTACCATATATATACTTGCTGTTGGGCACAATTTTGCTCTAGGATGAACACTTAAAACTAGCTAAATGTGTATTTATTACTAAGAATATTTAAGTATTGCTGGGGCAAATACCTAGCTACAGTTAGAAATTAATTAATCAAAAGGAAAAGGAGTCAGTCATAATTATGTATTCTTCTTAAAGCATAGTAAATTTTCAACAGGCTAATAAAATGAGATCTGACATTTAATAAGCTACCATCCTGCCACACACACTTAAGCCTAAACTGCTTGCCTATGAATGATGCTAATATTTACAAATGCACACAGTAAAATCAGCAAGTAAATTACCACCATTTGAAAGAAAATTCTCTATGGGATTCACACCTAAATATGTAACACTTATTTGCTTAAAAATTTAAAAAGGCAGATCTAACCAAATTAATTGAAAGAGTGTTAATACACTATTACATAAAATCATACTGACTATCTTTTGAAAACAGATTGAGATTATTGTCCCCATTTAACGAATAGGGAAATTGAAATTTAGGTTTAAGTGACTTTTCATAAGTCACCCAGTTAATTAGTGATAAGACTAAAGACAGAATTCCAATTTCAGGATATTATTGCTCATTCCACTCTGATTTTTTTTTTTTTTTTTACATCGAGGACCACCAATGTTTCGATCTCAGTAAGATTCACAATTTATCTCTTTATGATCATATTAAAAAACCCTTATATAATTTAGGTGTCAGGGACCACAGGTAATAATAGCATTATATGTAATCTATTAAAGTGAAAAAGATAAACTCCACTTTAATCAATTGTTATTCAAATAACACCCACTTATGTGCTGCCCATTGTGTTAGGCTCTATTATAGTTAACTGTATTAGTTATTGAATGTTATATAACAAAGTATCCTAAAACTTAGTGGCTTAAAACAATTATTTAAACATGTATTATCTCATTTTCTGGGGGCCAGGAGTATAGGAGCAGCTTAGTTGAGTGGTTCTGGCTCAGGGTCTCACTTGAAGTGACAGTTAAGATGCTGGCCAGGGATGCATGATGTCATTTCTATGTTGGACTATTGTTGGAGGATCTGCTTTCAAGGACATTTGCATGGCTGTTGGCTGGAAGCCTTAATTCTCACCAACCGGGCCTCTCCATAAGTTGCCTAAGTGACCTGATGATAAAGACATGACGGCTACCTTTCCCTGAGATAGTTGGGCTTTCAGGGAGAGAGAAAAGGACACCCTTACTAGATGGAGATCTAGACCTATAAGCATGATCAGTCATGTTTGTCCCTTTAGCTAGAGGAAAAAAGCATTCAACATATGCTTGTATGAGATCAACTTGAACAAAAACATAATCAATTCAAATGTCATCAGATTCAAGCTACACAATATACCCATAACTGATCTGTAGCTAGACTATTTAAATAAGATGAAACATCCTGATTCACAAAAGCCTGCCCAGGAACCTGCACTTTTCCTCCTAGGAGAATCATTCATATAGTCAGGGAGATCAACCCTGTTTGAATAACTTGTCTTACCTTCTATGAGAGGCCAGGGGCATATGCACCCTGCCTTTGGGGTGTGTATACCTTTCATTTGCTGTCTCTATTAATAAATTATTGCTTGTGCCTTGCTTTCAATACATCCTGAAATGCTTTTACATGGTGTAAGGCAAGAACCTGCCTGGGGCAAATGGAGGGTCCCAATGTCCCCTAGAGAGACCTCCTTGGACCCCTGTCTGGTGACACTTTCAGCAAGTAATTCCAGAGAGTGAACAAAAAGAAAGCTGGCATATCTTTTATAAACTCCCTTCAGAAGTCCACTATGTCATTTTCATTTTATTCTATTCATGAAAAGTTACTAAGTACAGCCCAAACTTAAAGTTAGGGGAATTAAGCTCTATCTTTTGAAAGAAGCATGAAAGAATTTGTGGATATATTTTAAAACCACTAAGTTAATCTATAAAATTCAAGTTATTATAAAATGACTTATTTAATATTTGGATATTCAATGGAAAACTAAGTTTATTAGAGAATATTTTATCACTGTGGTTAGCTTGCATATTCTGTCCCATTTTCATCTTACCCTATCAAAAAAAATTGTCAACACACTGCTATATAAATGATAATCTACCTCATTATATCAATAAGGAACTATATTTAAGACTTATAATAGAAAGCTCATATAACAAAATCTTATATAGAAAAAATTTATTTTTCCTCACCTAACAACAACCCAGAAATGGCCAGCCTAGCTGGTAAGCTGGCCCTCCAAAGCAATCATGAACCCAGATACGTCTGGCTTCCTACACCATTAATACTGAGTGTGTGGCTTTTGTCATCATGGTTGAAGTTTTGTGGCTCTACCTTCAGCATGGTGTCCTAGTTCTAAGAAAGAAAAAGGATGGGTGTAGGTCAAATGGCTAAGAAACATTTCCTCCATAAAGCTTTCCTTAAGCCCTAACTTTCATTTCATTGACAGGTTACATGTCCAGTACTGACTTAAAAGAGTCTGCAGAAGTGAATGTTTTTAACTGGACACATTGTTACCCTGAAAAAAATCATGGTTTTGCTAGTAGGAAAAAAAGATTTCGGTTTAGACAACTAGCAATGTCTACCCTCCTGCTCCAAGGAACTTCGATATACATTATCAAAACATTAGACACTAACCAGACAACACTATCCAAGGTTTATTAATGTTTCAAATGTGGTTCAGAGGGGAAAATCTGTTCAGTTTTAAGTTCACATATAAAGTATATTTTTCAAAGTAACCATAACTTTGTTTTTCCTAGTTGATAATGTTGAATAATCAGCTGACACAAATGTCATTTTTAGGAACATGTCCAAGATGATAACTGTACAGTTTGCATAAAGCAGTTTATTGAAGAGGTATTTATAACAGTAAAAACTTGGGGAAAAAACCCACAAATGTCAATCAATACAATACTGCCAAGATTTATGATCATACACACATTCACTTAATAGATACTATGCAACTTTTTAAAAATGATGTTATCTATGACAGTGAGAAAAGAACTATGAATGCAAGATATAGTTTATGAAATATTTACTTCTATTTTCTAATGTATTATTTAGTTTTAGAGAGATGTTTAGAAGAACGTAACAGAATTTTTTAATGATTAGATTATGGGATTTGAACAAATTATAACTATCTTTACATTTTTATTTGAAGGTTTTGAATTTGTTTGCATAAGCATGTACTGTTTTCATAAAGCAATAACTATTTTTCAAAAACACCAGAAAAGGGATGGGCGATTTGATCAACATTCCTTTTTGCATATAATTTCCCTAGATTTGACTATGGCTAATCTTATCATTGGAAGGGTTTACCTTTGTTCACTGGGGATAAAAGGGTTATTCTTTGTTCACTATAACTTTCAATTAAATTAAAATGACACAAAGGAATCCTGAGTTTGGTTTGGTTTGTATTTGGAACACTGTGACCCCTAAAGGAGTATCTTTTCTAGTTTCTTTGTGGAAGTATATGGAACCAAGCTGTGGTGGGGGATGGGCCTGGGCAACAACTACACAGAAGTTGAGGAGGAAAGGAAGTTAAACGTGGGATATAGTAAAGAGAAGTCTGGAGGCATGGGACAAGAAAGGGCACCAACCTGGCTGTCATGATTCTGGCATTTCTCTTCTGGCATGTTCTGTTAGTTTATCTTTCTGGCCTCAGTTTCCTCATCTGAAAAAAGACATCTAAATTAGAATCACTAGATGTTCCTTAAGTTTTTTAGGGGGAGAGGGGGTACAGGGGATTGAACTCAGGGGGACTTGACCACCGAGCCATATCCCCAGCCCTATTTTGTAATTTATTTAGAGACAGGGTTTCACTGAGTTGCTTAGCATCTTGCTTTTTGCTGAGGCTGGCTTTGAATTCGCTATCCTCCTGTCTCAGCCTCCTGAGCCACTGGGATTACAGGCGTGTGCCACTGTGCCTGACCATTAAGTTTTAAAATTCTTTTGGAAGACTCTTTTGGATCTACTGATGTTAAGTCGTGGCAAACTATACACTAAAGCTGAACCCAAGCAAATTACAGGAAAAATAACAATAACTAAAATATGCTACTTATTATTTCTCCCAGGCATGCTAAGTAACTTGCTAACATTACACAGCCAATAAATAGGGGAAGGGAAGCAAGGTTCCAGCCTGTTATGGTTTGAATATGGCTTGTCCCCATCATAAGATGTTAAGAGGTGGAACCATTAAGAGTTGATTAGGGCTCTGCCCTCATGAATAGCTTAATCCACTCACCTGATTAATGTATTGATGGGTTAATGGCTGTCCAGACAGCAGGTCTGCTATAAAAGGGAGCTTGGCTAGGTCTATTATGAGCTCCCTGTTTCTTGCCAGGTGATATTCTGCTTTGCTTCAGGGCACTGCCAGCAAGAAGGCCATCGGCCAGAACTTTGCCCAGAACCACAGCCAAAATAAAGCTCTTCTTTATTTTGACTATGGCTAATCTTATCATTGGAAAGGTTTACCTTTGTTCATTGGGGGGGGGGGGGAGATTATTCTTTGTTCACTATAACTTTCAATTAAATTAAAATGACACAAGGAATCCTGAGTTTGTTTTGGTTTGTATTTGGAACATTGTGACCCCTAGAGAAGTATCTTTTCTAGTTCCCTTGTGGAAGTATATGGAACCAAGCTATGTTATAGTTTAGCAACAGAAAATGAAGTGAAACAGACCAACCAGCCTGTTTTCAGAGTCTACTTTTAACACTTACAGGTTATTAAAGAACTGCCCAAGTCACGCATTTAAATGAAGCAGGCAGTAGCTTTCCGATCCTGGAGCTTGGCCTTGTAGAGGGTTAAAGCCAATGACATACAGACCTTCCACTCACCTCCTCACTACGTGGTGGGGTTGTCTCGACAGGTGGCAACCACCCCCTAAGGGCAGATGATTTTTGCAAGCTTTTAAGAACTTCTTCCTGCTATATTGTAGGACAGAAATGAAGTACTGACAGAATCAAAGTTTATGCACGTGTTCTTGCAGAAGGCTTTCTGATATCACTGTTTTTCAGTTCTTTCTGGTTCACACATCACGTTATGTAGCACCTTTCTGCATAGCTCATCTTGCCGTATTTCCTTTCGTTAAGACCAGAGAGAAAGTGAGAATATGGGGAGAGGACTAGCGAGGAAAAAAAAAAGGACGGGTTAAGAGCAGGTTAGAGGCCAAGATACTACTACAGAGTTAAGAGTCCGTCTCTCAGACAAAGGTCCCTCAGTGACGAACAGTCTCAGTTCTAGTTTCCTTCCTTTCACTACGTTCCTCTCCTCCTCAGTCTCTAAGTATGGAAGCTAGTGCAGAACCCAACAGCAGAGTTGGAAAGGTGAAACCCGTAGATAAGATGCGCAAGAGGGCAGCAACTAAGCGTACAGCTTCTGAAAGCCCCGACTTCCCAGACCCCTTCGCAGAAGGGCGGAGCTCGTGGTCGGCGCCCTATCCCCGCGTCCGCACGTCGCCGTAGCCCCGCCCCTCCCTGCCCCCTCCGGCTCCGCCCTTCCCTGGGGCTGGTGCGGCGGCGGCGACGTCAGCGCTAGGAGACCCCTGGGTGGCGGCTGCGCCGTAGGCGGGCCGCGGCCTGGACGCGCTGCAGGGAGGGGCGGAGCGAGCGGGCGGGAGCGCGCGCCGGGCCCGCCTCGGCTGCCGCCGCCACCGCCGCGGGAGAATGATCTGGGCGGTAGCGGGCGGCCCGGGCTAGCGGCCACGAGCCAGTTCTGCGGCTGCCCAGACGAGCAAAGGTCGCCAGCCCCGAGTCGACCCCCTCTCCGCCCCCCAGGAGGGGCGAGAGGGAGCAGCTGCTGATGTCAGGTACGGCCAGGAGAGGCGCCCTCAGGCTGCGGGTCGGAGGTCTGGGCTCCCCTCGCCCTCCCCCCTCTCGGGGTGTGTGAGCCCGAGCGTGGAGGGTGGAACTGAACGCCAGGCGCCGCCAAACAGGTGTCTTGGGGTCGGGGCCGGGCTTGGGGCGTTCGGGCTTCTGAGGGAGGCGCTGGGCACTTCGAACTCCTGGTGCCTCCGCGAGCTGCCACGGGGGCCGGGTGCCCACCGGCCGTTATTTTGACGACATGTAGCCACTTGTCGTGGCGGGTCCTTCCTTTCGCCCTCCCGCACAACTCACCTCCTGCGCTCGTGCTGCTGGGCGTCGGGCGTCCGCGTGAGGCGCGGGGTGCGCCCCGGCTGCGGGCCGGATCACCTAGCGGTCCTGTCCTGCCGGGCCCTGCCTGCCCCGCCCCCGGGTCCTCCCCGCCCGGGTCCCCAGCGGCGGTCTAGCCAACTCGACTCAGGTGTGGGCACCTTCCGCGAGAGCCGGGCTGCAGCGCCGCCTGAGCGCCCAGCGTGCGGGCGCCGTCCAGAAGTGCCTGGGGCTTGCTTGGATCATCAGGTTTGTCTGTAGCTGATTTATTTTTTAAAGTTTCCCTGCCTCTGACAGTGAACAAGCCAGGTGCGTATCGGGGCACTTGCTACCAGAAAGAGGGGGGAATTTTTTTTTTTTAACTCAAAATTTTTTCCCCTTTCCCCCTGCAAAGTGTGATGGATTACTGGATTCTGGCAAGTTGTCCATAGTGCTTTGAGTTTAGATAAATTGCATGCTTCTAATAGACCGCAGTTTAGGGGTAGGGATTTATTCATTTTTAGCCCTTAGCCGCCCCCTCCCCCTTGCCATTTTTTAAAATAACATCATCAACAACAACACAAGACTCACATTCTGGAAAAGCTTATTAAGTTTCCAGTTTTCTAAATTCATTGTGAGTATATAGCCTTATTTCCTTTTAATGCTTTAATGGTTAAAAACTATGCTGACTATGAATTGATTTCATTATGAATTAAAAAGTTACAAAGTGGGTTGGGGCTGTAGCTCAATTGGTAAGAGTGCTTGCCTAGCACGTGTGAAGCACTGGGTTCCATCCTCAGCACCACATAAAAAATAAAATAAAGGCACTGTGTCCATCTACTATAAAAATATTTAATTTTTTTAAAAAAGTTATAAAGTTAGAACTTTAAATAATTAGGCAATAAGTAAGGGCCAGAAATATGTTAATTTAGTAAAAGATGGATGTAGAACATAGCTCCGCCTGGGTGCCAAGAAAAAAAGTGTTGTGCTTAATTTCAAGTTGTTTAATTCTGGTAAGTTTGGGATGTGGGAATCCGAGTTTTTGAAGGTATTTAGATGACAGCTTTTCACTCCAGTATCAGAGAAATGTCAGATGAGGCTCATGCACATGATATGGAGAGTTCTAAATATTGTATGTAATAAACTGTATTTGTTTTATTTTCTGCCAGCTTTAGTATATATTGATGTATAGTTTAAATGAATATAAAGCTTCAAGTTACCAAACAGTTAACTCTTTTCACCATATGTTAAGTAAAACAGTGATTTAGTAAGGAAAGTATGACTCATTTAAAATTCTTCATAGTGAAAGAGAATGATTTTTCAGGACTAGTGGAAAACTATTAAATATCTTTCTCAAATTTGCCTGGAATTTGTGTTTTTTCAATATCTTTTTGCTTAGGATTCAGCATTTAAAGATAGTTTGTGGTTATTATCCATTTAGAGTTTAAGTATACTGTCTTTAGATTGTATGAGTCTATATTTCTGAATAAATTAAATATCCAGAAATAAATATGCAGATTTAGTTAGGCACAGACGATGAGTTAATGTTTACCTAATGATAGAAATATAAAAGTGATATTGTTAATTATATTCGAGGTACTATTTGTATGTTGTTATGTGCTGCAGTAAAAATTATGTTATACTGATTACCTTTGTAAGCCATGTTAATTTATAGTCTTCATGTGGTAAAATTACTGATAGTAATTTTTGTGACAGTATATTTATAAATCTTTTAATAGAAAATTGTCAGCTTGATGCTACATTAAAAGTTTAGGTTTCCCAATAGAAATTTTTAAGTGAAGAAGGAAAAAAAATCTGTTCCTTAAAATGTGAAGTTAGCATTTTATTTTAAAATCTGGTTATAAAGGAACTCCGTGTGAAATTAAATTTTTATTTTGCACCTAATTCAAGCATCCCAGGAGAAAATATGTGCCCAAATTTTAATGTGTGAAATTATGAAGTCTTCTTTGGAGGAAAAAAATAAAGAAGATGCTCCTTGTGAGTTAAGGAAACCCCTAAGAAGCTGGGAAAAACCAAAAAGAAAATTCAAATAAACTGTCCAGCCCATGTAGAATGATCTGTCTTGCACATTGAAGGGACACATTTAGGACAAAAAACAATGTTGAGGAAATTCTCAAACAGGAAATCTGATTAAAATGAAAGCTATGTATTTAAAACATTACTTAAACTGGTAGAAGTTGGATAATGGGCAGAATTTGGGATTACATACAGCTTGGTGTAGTTTTTTGCATTCTGTTCCCCCCCCCCCACCCCCAGGATTGCCATAATAAATAACCACAAACAGCCATTTAAAACAACAGAAATTTATTGTCCTAGTTCTTGTGGCTAGATGTCTGAAATCAGGATGTTGCCAGGACCATGTTGTCAAGGTTCTAGGGGAGAATCTGTTCTAGGCCTCTTCTTGTATCACTGACAATTCCTTGGCTTGTAGCTGTATCACTTCGTGGCATTCTCCCTGTGTGGCTCTGAAACATTAGTACTACAAGTGTGGTCCCTGGATTCTTGTATCACCTGGGAACTTGTTAGAAATGCACATTTTCAGAGTCCAGATCTTTGTTTTGAAAATTGTTATAATTAACTTTCCAGATGATTCTGATGCAGACTTAGGTTTGAGAACACTGATCAGGATGGAAAAGAAAGACAGTATACAAGATGAATTTAAAAAATAATGTTAGATATTAATAAGTGCTATGAGTAAGAGTAGGATGGTCAGGGAAGACCACTGAGAAATAAAGACCTGAAGAAATAAAGACCATGGGGAGTGAGACATATTAGTGTCTGGGCATATGTCCCCAGCAGATAACAGCAAGTATAAAGACCATGGGCGTGTTAGAGAGATGTCAGTGAATTCAAAGGTAAAACATGGAGAAATAGTATTAAAGTCGATCCTGTGAAATTGTTATTTGTTTGTTTCTTACCTCCAAAACCACTAAGTCCAAGGAAGAAAGATCACAAAGAAAGGGGTGAAATAGGATGGCAGATTATGTGAAGGTCATTTTAAGGTTTGGGCTTTTTAAGTGAGATTAGGAAGTTGTAAGGGTTCAGAGCAGTTGGGTGACAAGATACAAGTACAGTTTTAAAAAGATCACTCTGACTACTCTAAAAAATAGAATGAAGGAAAGGTTAAAGGGGGGAAAAAAAGTTGATTAGAAGGATTTTGCAGCAGTTAAGAGAAAGGGGTGGCTCAGACCAGGGCTGTAGTTGTGGAGAAGTTAGAACAGGTACAAGACTAAAAACAGATTAAAAGTAAATGTGAAAAGTAAACTTTTTTTCTTCTTATCTAGTTACCTCTGTCATCCATATGCCCTCCTGAAAAGCAGCTATTTTAAGTATTTTATGTACATATGAGAGACTTAAGTCTCAACAAGTTAAAGGAATAGTTATTGACTGGGGCCGATTTTCTTCTCCAGGAACATTTGGCCCTGTCTCGAATTTTTGATCAACCAGTGAGAATGCTGCAGGTATCTAGGAAGTAGAGGCCATGGATGTAGCTAAAAATCTTTTAACAGTGAACAGAACCGCTCCAACAACAGTATTATCCAACTCATGGTGTCATGTCAGTAGTTCCAAGATTAAGAAACCCTGATTTCATGGTATTTTCAGAGGTGATAGTGGAGAGAAGAGAGGTCATTGTAGTCAGATGTATAGTAGGAATAGTGAAGCCAATACATTGGATGCTTAGAGAACTGTTGATAATTCAGAATTGCTGAAGTGTAAGGCACAGGATAGCAAAAGATGAAACTGGACACCTGGAGAGTCTAGATCAAGGAGAATCTTTTATATCATGTTAATTAAAGATGCTTAGTTTTTGAGTTGTAGGCAGTGAAGTTCCATGAAAAGCTTCATGGTATGACACAGTTAGCTTCATTTTATAGAGGTCATTATGGCAACAGGATGAGGTGGGGAGAGAGAGAGCACTTAAGTTAGAGAGGAGATAGGTTAGATATTGCAGTACTTAGATGTGAAGAATGTATGAAATAGGGCAAAGAGTAGAAATGGAGAGATGATGGATTAGAAAACTGTTTAGAAAATAAAATTGACAACACTTGATAATTGGATTTGGGGTGAGGATAAGGGGGATCATTAAGAATGTCTCCCAGGCCTGGGGGTGTAAGTCTGTGAGACAGCACATGCTTCACATGTGCACAGCTCTGGATTTAATCCCCAGAACCCTTCCCTGGCAGAAAAAAACAAAAATGTCCCCAATTTCTCCTGTAGATAATCAAGATAGCTCTAAATGAAAAGGGAACCTATTGGTGAGTAACTTAGATAACCACCAATAATTAATATAAGAAGTTTTAAGGGAGTAAAGTAATGATTCACTTTTGGACATGAATTTGAGATGCCTGTAGTCCAGGTAGGAGTATTTAGCATGTATCTGTGCATGTGACTCTGAAACTTAAAGTTTGAAAAGTATCAAGAGATCCTTTTGTGTAACAAGTATGGAAAAATTAATGCACTTTGATTTTTCACTCTCTAGATAAAGTAGTCTACTTTTATTTAGTTTTTTTGTCAGAAAGTAATTGGTGTATACCTGATTTAAAAAATAAACATGAAAATTAAGCACTAATTTAAAATTAAGAGTGAAAAAAAAATTGTCCTTCTTGCCCATGCCACCTTGCTAAAGTTTTTATTTATACAGTGTACACACACACATTTATATATATTTTTTGTATTTTATATATATATAAATGTGCACTTACACATAAGCATTTAAAATGGGACTGCTATGCAAACTTCAGTAATTTGTCTAAAAAAATAAGTCTTTTACATAGTTCAAATGAATGAGGTTGTGGTATAAAAAGATAAGTGAAAAGGATAAAGTAGTGGCTAATGGATATAACATGATCTGTTTAATGCATATTAAAAGATGAATATACATATATGGTGACATACGCTTTACTTGTTCTTTTTTTTGTTAAGTCTTTAAACAATGGATAATAGTTAGTTTTGGTGAGAACTAGTGATAGAGATGGTAAAGTGTATATAATACTTTTTTGTATATTTTTCCTTCTCTAAGTATGCTTGGGTTTCTTATCTCATTTTCTGATTTAAAAAGCATACCTTATTCATCATTAATACTAATCTTAGCCAAAAGTACAAACATTTACCAGAACACATAGATGATTGATTTTGACAACTATATTCTGTTGTATGGTATGATACCTCCATACATACATTTCATCAACAAACATCTTGGTTTATAGCTGTTGTGAACACCACGGAAGGATTCTGTGATTTATATCCTTGAGATAAATTTCTAGGTGTTTTCTCCTAGTTTTAACTTCAATTTTTTAAAAAAAATTTAA